TGGCAACAATTGTGAGGTTGACCCAGGATTGGGCTGTGTTTCATTCTGTTGTCCATAAGGTCACTATGAGTCAGTACCAACTTGATGGCACCTAACAACAACAACAACAACAGAAGGGACCAGTCCCTCCTCTTTGCTAAAGTGGAGGGATAGCCCAAAAGAGGAAGATCCTCAATTAGATGGATTGGCCCAGTGATAGCAGCAATAGGCTCAAGCATTACAACAACTGTGAGGAAGAAGCAGGACCAGGCAGGTTTTGTTCCGTTTGCATAGGGTCACTAAGAGTCAGAACTAACTTGATGGCACCTAACAACAGCAACAGCAATCTAGTTTACATTTCACTTTTGAATAATCTGTCAACATTATATGAACATGCAATATTAACTGGGACTATGAAAAACTAATTGGATTACAGTTGAGATAAAACTATAGAAAACTAAAATATGGATTATTTATATAATCAGAAATATTAATTTCAGAAAAACAATGTTCCTTTGTGAAATTCATAAAAACATTACACTTCAAACTGTTCTACATTCATTTACTTCTACAGATTTGAGCTCCAGTATTTTATGGGTATAATTATACTAATTGAAAGCATTCATGTGTAATAAAATACGTGAAGCATATGTTTCCTCAGGACACAATAGGTTTATAAACTATCTGGTCACAATAAAGACACACAGCATCATCCTGGATGTGAGATTACCTGGGGCTATGAGAAAACCATACAGATCGTTATCCTCAAGTATTCTGAAGAATGTACAAATACCATTCCATAGCTAGCTACATCATGACATTAACCATTTCTACCAGTTTCCTGCAGTCTCAGAAACCCTATAAGGGTGTGAGTCTAAACTGACTCTATGGCACAAGCCACCACTGTTGGTGTTAAGTGTCATTGAGTCGATTCCAACTCACAGCAGCCCTTTATGGGGTTTCCAAGGAGCAGCTAGCTGGTGAGCTTGAACTGCTGACCTTGTGATTCAAACTGACCTTGCAGTTTAGTGCATTAATCCACAGTGCTACAGCAGGACTGCTACAACCACCGTGACTACCACTCTTTTCCTGCACTGGGCTTTTCTTGTAATCTTCACATGAAACTTCTGGTGCCTAATGATGTCACTGATAAAACTCCTAAAGGTACCCTTGTGATGGTTTCTATCATTGTCAATACCCACTGGTGGGCACTGCAGTAAAGGCTAGTTAGGCTTGTCTTAATGGGAGAGTTTATTCACACCTAGATTTGTGATATAGTTACTTTCAAGAGCTTATGAACAATACTTTGAATCCTTGGTGTACTATAGCTATACTTGAAAGCAATAGTTCTTTCATGGTTTTTGTTTATCTAGTTCTGATTTTGTTTAGTTTTATCCTTGGATGTGGCTGTGAATACACACGGACTAGGTGTTGGCATTGTGGGTTAATGTGCCAGACTGCAAAGCCGTTTGAACTGCAAGGTCGGCAGTTCAAGCTTACCAGTCACTCCTCGGAAACCCTATACAGGGTTGCTATGGGTCAGAACTGACTCAACGGCACTTAACAACAATATAACAAGGTAAAACTTGGAGTCCTGGTGTAGCACTGTAGGATAAAGCACTAGATCACAGGATCAGTTTGAACCACAAGGTAGGCAGTTCAAACTCACTTCCACTCCTTGGAAACCCTATACAGGTTCGCTATGAGTTGAAACTGAAATCAGTGGCACTTAACAAAAACAGGTAAGAGTTTACTGTAATAACAGAAAGAATTCAAATTGTATGCATTCTTATACTTGTTAATTGACATTGAGTCAGTTCTGACTCATAGTGACCCAGTACAAGTTTTCTAAGAAACAGCTGGTGAGTTTGAACTTCCGACCTTGGGGTTAGCAGTACAGTACTTATCCTACAGTACCACACCAGGACTCCATTCTTATACATGGTGGTGGTGGTGGTGGTGGTGTCCCATGGAGTCATTTCTGACTCACAGTGTCCCTGCACAGGGTTTCTGAGAGTGTAAATCTTTATGGGAGCAGAAAGTCTCATCTTTTTCCCACAGAATGGATGGTAGTTTTGAAATGCTGACCTTGAGGTTAGCAGCCAGACTCATAACCACTTAGAAACTGATAAAATGTTCTTATATGCTCTCTCTCCTTAACCCACTGCCATCAAATGAATTTGACTAACAGTGAATCTGTAGACAGAGTAGAACTGCCCCATAGTTTCCAAGGGTATATATGGTAACAGAAGCAGATTGCTACTGCTGCATCTTTATCCAGTACAGTGGCTGGATTTAAGTTGCCAATGTTTGGGTTAACAACTGAGCACTTTAGTCATTGTGCCCTGATGCCTCCTTTTGCTAAAAAGCTCTTTAGCATCTCCTGAAAATGTTAAGTGCCATCAAGTTGGTTCCAACTCACAGCATCCAGTTTGGGGTTTTTGAGGAGCAGCTGGTGGATTTGAACAGCCAACCTTGTGGTTAACAGTTCAGTGCATATCCAACAGCACCACACAAGGATACCAAGGTTTAGATTATTAGCTATGGAAAACTTAAATTAACATCTTATCATCTATATATTTTCAACTGCTTAATATATTTAAGGATTGACTTATTAAGATGTTCTCCAGTTTGCTTCAAATATGTATGATCAACTTGACTAAAGGAAATATAGACTTCAACTATCAACTAATGAAAGTACTACTATTTTCTATAAAAAGATCATCTGAAGCACAACAGCAAAAGAGTTTAATAATCTCTGGTGTATAAGATGTAAGGGTCCTGGGAGCACAGTGGTTGAAGTGCTTGGCTGTGAACCAAATGGTTAGTGAGTTAAATCCATAAGCCATTCAATGGGAGCAAGAGATGGAAGTCTACTTCCATGAAGGTTACAGCCTTGGGAACGTCATGGGGCAGTTCTACTCTGTGCTGAAGGGGCCCTCTCAGTCAGAATAGCTTCAGGGCAGTGCCTTTGCTTCAGTCTGGATTTGGTTAAGATACACAGAGTCCATTTTTATATAAGAAAAGATGTTACAGTAAAAATATGATTTAATATAAAAATAAAGATTATAAGAATTCTTAACTTTGACCTGCATATCAGTCTAATTACTTACCAGAAATTTCTTCTAGACATTGTTTAGCAGTTTTACTATATGATAAATCCATTTTTGTAGGACTGATACAGGAATCAGCAGATGGTAAAGGTGTACCTTCATTTTCTGAATGTGCTCTGCAATTAAGAAAGACAGAAACAAATAGCAATAATTTCATCAATGGGAAATCAACTCATTTTTTTTAAAAAAGTAAAGGTTTTGAATTTTATCAAATTAGGAAAGCATTTCTTTATGACAGGGACCTTCTAGAACCATCTGTCTATCTATTGGAGAATTTTGTTACCTTTTATGTATAATTCAAAAAGGACTGAACTATTAAAACAAATTTCTTAGATTTTTCTACATTTCAATACTTGAATGATGAATAGTTGATTACATTTGGGTAAAAGATTGGAAAAGATCCAGCGCTCATTTTCGGGGGGTATTTTTTTGCTGTCTTAAAGAAAATCCTTTCAAATCATTTTGTGAAAATAGCTAACTGAAATTAGTTTTTTCCAGTGAGAATCTTACTTTTAATTATATTTTCCTTTACTGTCCACAGTTATTTTAAATGCTGTCTTCCATAGTGTGCTTTCCAGAATGAAGAAATAGTAACCATGTATGTATGTTCAAAATGCTAACCAATTATATTAAGCTTAGATAAATACTGAGCACATGTAAGACTTAAAACTTATTATTGAAAATGCAAAGTATAAGGAAAAAACAATATTATATTCATTTTGGGACATGAAAATTATTATAATGGCTTGATTGTCAAAGATTTCAGAAATAATGAAGTCAATTAACCATCATTTTTTATTCTTGCAACTATCTGCTACATGCTTTATTTTGGCATATATATATATATGCATGGGTGTATATTTCTATGTATGCTTATCATATGAAGGCTAGGATACTCAATGGAAGGACCATATTTTTTATATTCATACCTTTATTATACTGCCTTCAATACACAGCCAGCTGTTTTAAGAAACATTTTTTTTTTTTAAATATCAGTACAGCTTCAAAATTTATTTGATCTAACTGCCACATCTTGAAAAACCCACAACATGAATTGTTAACACATGGAAGGAGGTAAGCCAATATAGTATGGTATGCTAGACTGTGTTCTCCATAAACATCTCATTTGCCCTGGAATCCCACATGGGCCCATGACAAATAAACACTGGATAGCTTTTATTTATAAAATAACAACAAAACTACAGGGAATATTTGTATGTGAAAGAAAAATTCAGTATATTTTTTTCAGAATTCACTTATAACTAACAGTTTGCTTGTTATAAATTCTGTTTTTGAGGTAAAATAGAGGATAGTCATTCATTGTAGAAATGTTTTATATTAATTTGACAGATCTAAAAACTCTGCAAGGCTAATTAGCATTTTAACAATCATGGAAAACTCTGTGATATGTGCGGGTTTGTTGTTTTGCTGTTAAGTGCTGTCAAGTTGGTTCCAACTCATAGCGACCCTGTATAGGGTTTCCAAGGAGTGGTGGGTGAGCTTGAACCACTGCCCTTGTGGTTCAAACTGACTTTGCAGTCCAGCGCATTAACCCACAGCTCACATCAGGAGTCCATATGTGGGTATATGTGTATATATATGACTTAATATATAAAAGAAAACATTCTGCAAGAATTCCTGTAAGAACCTGTGCCTTGGTCTCTAATGTTCTCTGGCAGTCTGATCCCATTTACCCTAACCTACAATTAAATATGGAGTGGCTCTGTAGATTAATGAGCTGGACTTTAAGGTTGGTTTGAACTGCAAGTTTGGTGGTTCAAGCTCACCAGCTGCTCCTCGGAAACTCTATACAGGGTCACTATGTGTCAGAACCACCTCAGTGGCACTTAACAACAAGAACACTAAATATAAGAAACATAGGAAAATAAAGAAACAGGATAGACTATTCAAGTCACAGGACATACCACTAAGGTCAGCAAAGACCTCAGTGTTGCTAAAAGCAGCAAACAGTTTTAGTTTTTACCTTACTTGGTATCTTGATGGCAATGAATATATCTGAACACCTCTCCCTTCATGAAATTATTCTACCTTGGCTTCTATGACAAAAATTCTTGAGCTTGTTGCCCATTTTCTCTAGATGCTTCTTTTTGTACTTTTGTTGTCTTCCAGGTGGCACTGGAGGCACTCACTCATCTCTGCCAAAAAAATTTGGAAGACAAAACTATCTGGCCAACTGATTGGAAGAGATCTGTATTTGTGCCCAATCCAAAGAGAGGTGACCCAATGGAATGTGGAAATCATCACACAATATCTTTGATATCCCATGGGAGCAAAGTTTTACTAAAGGTAATACAGAAAAGGCTGCAAGCATGCATTGACAGAGAACTTCCAGATTCAGAAGAGGATGTGGAATGAGGGATATCATTGCTGATGTCCAATGGATCTTGACTGAAAGCAGAGACCATCAGAAAGACGTTTACCTGTGCTTTATTGAGTATGCAAAGGTGTTCATTTGTGTGGATCATGACAATCTATGTACAACATTGCAAAGCATGAGTATTCCTGAACACTTAATGGTGGTCATGAGGAATCTGTACATGGACCAAGAGGCAGCTATCTGAACAGAACATGGGAATGGTTTAAAATTAAGAAAGGTGTGTGACAGTGTTGTATTTTTTCACCATACTTATTCAACATGTATAC